CCCCATCTCTAATGTGATGATTTTTTTCATTGTTAGAAACTTAAAACACGTTTAAAATGGTAAATTTTGGTAAGGAAATAAGGATTTTGCATTTAGGCTCCGCCCCTTGGTTTCTCAACTAATAAAAACGTCATTACTATTTAGATCAGGGCAGGCATGGGTGGGGCTTAGTCTTTGGCTTTAATTTTTTTTAATATACATAGTATTCTTTAAATAACACGATACTCAAAAACATGTGTTACGTGGTAATTTCTTGTAGAGAAATATTAAGAATTTTGCATTTAAATTCCGTTCCTTTGAATCTCGATGATTAAAAAAAAAAATCATCACAATTGAGAGAGGGCGGGTGGGCGGTGCTTGTATTTTGTCTTTTTTCTTAATATGCGTAGCCGTGTTTTCAGAAGAAGAAACTTAAAACATGTTTAAAATGGTAAATTCTTGTGGACAAATATGGATATTTCAATTAAGCCCCGCCCCTCGATCTGACAACGAATGAAAAATTCATCACAATTGAGAATTGAGATTAGGGCAGGTATGGGTGGGGCCTAATATTTGCCTTTAATTTGTTCTTAATATACATAATATTCTTTGTACAATACGATAATCAAAAACATGTTATTAATTTCTGGTAGAGAACTAAGGATTTTGCAGTTAAGCTTCGTTCCATTGGCTCATGACGAATAAAAAAAATCATCACAATTGAGATAGGGAGGGTGGGCGGGATTTATATTTTGTCTTTTCTTCTTAATATACATAATATTCTTTGATTAACACGATAATTAAAAACATGTTTTTGATTATTCGTAGAAAACTAAGGATTTTGCAGTTAAGCTTCGTTCCATTGGCTCATGACGAATAAAAAAAATCATCACAATTGAGATAGGGTGGGTGGGCGGGGCTTACATTTTGCCTTGTTTTCTTAATATGTGCAGTCATATTTTCACAACAAGAAACTTAAAAGTTGTTTAAAATGGTAAATTTGTATAGGGAAATATCGATTTTGCAGTTACGCTCCGCCCCTCGATCTGACAACGAATAAGAAATTTATTACGATTGAGATCGGGACGGATGGGTAAGGCTTTTCTTTTGGTTTTCTTTTTTAATTAACACATTTAGTTTTCTTTATATAATACAATTATTTAAGAACATATTTCATATGGTAGTTTCTCGTAGAAAAATAAGGATTTCACAATTAAGTTTCGCCCCTCAGCTTACGACGAATAAACAAATCATCAGAATTGAGATAGGGTGGGTGGGCGGGGCCTATATTTTTCCTTTTTTTTCTTAATATACATAGCCATCTTTTCACAACAAAAAACTTAAAACACGGTTAAGATGGTTTTTGTAAGGAAATATGAATTTTGCAATTATGGGGCGCAGCCTAATTGCAAAATCGAGATTTCCTTATACAAATTTTTCATTTTAAACATGATTTAAGTTTCATGTTGTGAAAAGAAGTCTACATATATTAAAACGAAAAGACAAAATGTAAGCCCGCCCACCCACCCTATCTCAATTGTGATGATTTTTTTTTATTCGTCGTGAACCAATGGAACTGAGCTTAATTGCAAAACATTTAGTTCTTTACAAAAAATTAAAAACATGTTTTTGAGTATCGTGTTGTTCAAAGCATACTATGTATATTAAGAAAACAAAGGAAAATATAAACCCCGCCCACCCACTCCATCTCAATTGTGATGATTTTTTTTATTGTTAGAAACTTAAAACACGTTTAAAATGGCAAATTTTTGTAAGGAAGTTTAGATTTTGCTTTTAGGCTCCGCCCCTATGTTTCCTAACGAATGAAAACTTCATTACTATTTATATCAGGGCAGGTCTGGGTGGGGCTTAATCTTTGGCTTTAATTTTTTTTTTAATATACATAGTATTCTTTGAAAAACACGACACTCTAAAACATGTTTTAAATTTCTCCTAGAGAAATAACGATTTTGCAGTTAAGCTCCGCCTTGTTGGCTCACGACGAATAAAAAAAATCATCAGAATCGAGATAGGGTGGGTGGGCGGGGCTTATATTTTTCCTTTTTTTCCTTAATACACATAGCCATCTTTTCATAACAAAAAACTTAAAACATGGTTAAAATGGTTTTTGTAAGGAAATATGAATTTTGCAATTATGGGACGCAGCCTAATTGGAAAATCGAGATTTCCTTATACAAATTTTTCATTTTAAACATGATTTAAGTTTCATGTTGTGAGAAGAAGTCTACACAGATTAAAACAAAAAGACAAAATGTATGCCCGCCCACCCGCCCTATCTCAATTGTGATGATTTTTTTTATTCGTCGTGAACCAAGGGGGCGGAGCTTATCTGCAAAATACTTGTTTCATTACAAGAAATTAAAAACATGTTTTTCAGTATCGTGTTGTTCAAAGAATACTATGTATATTAAGAAAACAAAAGAAAATATAAACCCCGCCCACCCACCCCATCTCAATTGTGATGATTTTTTTTATTCGTCGTGAACCAAGGGGGCGGAGCTTAACTGCAAAATACTTATTTCTTTACATGAAATTAAAAACGTGTTTTTGAGTATCGTGTTGTCCAAAGAATACTATGTATATTAAGAAAATAAGGGAAAATATAAACCCCGCCCACCCACCCTATCTCTATTGTGATGATTTTTTTATTGTTAGAAACTTAAAACACGTTTAAAATGGCAAATTTTTGTAAGGAAATATGGATTTACCTATTAGACTCCGCCCCTCGGTCTGCCAACGAATGAAAACTTCATTAAGATTTAAGTAAGGGCAGGTATGGGTGGGGCTTAAGTTTGGGCTTTAATATTTTCTTAATATATATGGTATTTTTGAATAACACGATACAAAAATCATGTTGAGAAATAATAAGAAATTTGCAATTAAGTTTTGCTCCTTTGGCTCTCGATCATAAAAAAAATCATCACAATTGAGATGGGTGGGTGGGCGGGGTTTATATTTTGTCTTTTCTTCTTAATATCCATAATATTCTTTGATTAACACGATAATCAAAAACATGTTTTTAATTACTCGTAGAAAACTAAGGATTTTGCAGTTAAGCTTCGTTCCATTGGCTCACGACGAATAAAAAAAATCGTCACAATTGGGATAGGGCGGGTGGGCGGGCTTACATTTTGCCTTGTTTTCTTAGTATGTGTAGACTTATTTCGACCACAAGAAACTTGAAACATGTCTAAAATGGTAAATGTTTGTAGTGAGTGCGAGATTTCCCAAAACTATGGCAAAATAATCAGAAAACGGGATCATATTGAACGGTAATAAACCCAAAATAAAATTATCAACTGCAAAGAAATCAGATTAAAGTGGTTCCGATTTGGAAACTTCCCAAAAACTCATCTAAAATATCCGTGACGCGAACGAAGGGGTCGACTCGGCTAATTAAGGAAACGTTGGATTAATTTTCATAAAAAGCGATCTGTTCACATCAAACGCATCGACAGAGATAAGTTAAGTATGACTGAAAGCAGACTTACACAGATGCAGCATGGAATGTTCTGTATCTTCTTCTCGGTCTCAGCAAATTTTTCTAAGTCCGGTTTTCTTCAAAATTCAGCCAAAAATAGTAGGCGGTTTTTATGAGTGTACGGTTCTGCGCATAATGTTCGCAATGTCTGCCAAGCGCAACGACATTTGCAATTTGCGAAAATGCGAATTTTGTTCTTACGTTCTGGGACTGGTGGTCGAGTTTGATCATCTGTTTGAATTGTACTACGTGCAGATTAGGACATGCGTGTTAAGTAATTAAAATTTGCAAATTTGCGAATTTTCCTTTGACGGTGTTGTTTCTAGAAATGTGTCAAATTGAGTGGAATAAACTAATTAAAGCTGGAATGCTGACAATACGTATAATTCGGTTGTACTTATGACTAAAGGGAAAAATTTAGATCACCGAATGTCACGAATTTCCGGGGATGCATTTGAGAGTCAACGACAAAAAATATCTGAATTTGTTGAACAAGTGTCATAATAAACAATCAGGTTTCCGTTGACCGGGAAATCAAAACTGTTGACATGAAGACCAACTGGTAGGGAGTGGTGTTGTCGAAATTTTTGCTAATTGTGGTTTTTAGTATCATTTAAGTCGTTCTGGGTTGTGTGGATATTTGTGACCATTCGATTTTGTCCGAAACGTTAAAAATAATGCGAAACGGCGAAGAATAGTTAAATGTGTGTACGGAGATTGTGGAAACTGTAGAGTGATGATGTGTTTCTAGGTTTGATCGAGTATCTGGAAGCTAAAGATAAGTGTTTTCAGGCGTTGCTAAACGTTGTTATTTTATCAAAGTGTTTTATCGTCAAGCTTTGGGAAAATTCTCCCTTTGTTAGTAAGCAGTTGCCTGGGATCGGCAATGTTATGTCGTCCCAGTTGGTTAATCCGGAGAAGACCACTTTTCAGTTGATACTGGAGTGTGATTCTAGAGAAATTGAACTGGTATTTGTGGTTTCTGTTTCTATAAAATTCAATCTAGACTCGTGTTGCAGATAATTAATAAGAAACCACCAACCGGCAGTAAAATTTTAAACCAAATTCGTTATTTACCCAAATACATCTTAAAATTAGAACTTAGAATACAGGTGAAGCTTAACTTCGACCAAAAACACGACCTCCTAACCTTGACCCTTCTAGTCACTCTTACCTGATGGAAAACCCGACCGTCTTTGGCTTTATAGATTTCCAAGGGAACAGCCTGCGAGATGTCACCTTCTCGTTTTTTGAAAATACAGTCTTCAGCTGGCATCGATTGCACCACCAAGTACGAAAATGCACCAAACGCCACACCAAAAGAAAATGGAAAAGCAAAAAACAATGTGAAAAAAATCAAGGTGATGATACTAATCACCATCATCGCCGCCACAATAAAACCCACGACCTTGACCCACACCACCGCAGTACCATTTTGGCCGAGCACGTCCCATCAAGGTGAAGCCCCACCGATAATTCCAATGACTTTACGTGAGAGCAAACGCCACAATCGATAAGAACAATTAATTCAACAATAGATACTTAATAGTTGTAGCTATCGGAATTTCGAGCTGATTCCCATCGCAAATTTTTCCAGTTATGATCAGTGTCTGTGATTAGTCTTGCTGCTTTTGCAGTATATATAGCATATCATTATGTTTTCAAGGCAGTTTGCGTTTGGCGTCGTTTAATCGGGTATTAAAAAAATTGTGTTGTTTTATGGGTCGCTGATAAAGAAATAATTCGGTGTCAACACAATTACAAGCAGTAATGGCGAAGGAAGAGGGAAATGTGGTCGGAGTTGAAGAAGGTAGAAAGAGTGAAGAAATAAAAGCTCCAGGTTTGTGCATTCTGCTGAGAAAGTTTGCGTAGGTGACCCCTGGAGTTCAAATCTCCGAAACAGGTTTATCGTAGTGTTTAAATGATCAAATGTCATTGGAAGGTTGAAGAAAGCTTGTCTTGGTGACAGATATGTTTTTGTGTGGGTTTGTGTCAGCGATTAATTTTCTACACTTCTTTGTTAACTAAAGATAACAACTATTAAATATTAATTTTGTCGATAATAATAATAACACGAAACAATGAACTTTGTTTAATTTTAGTCACACGAATTTAATATCGAGTTAATAGTTTAGATAGAGTTCTTGGGACTTGGGAGAAAAATTTCCAACAAAATACTGCTATCATTTACGTCCGAGCTCTTAATCTTTTCAAACACCCGATTCATCAAGATTTGTTTGATCCTAACAATGAAGATTATCTTGAGAATGTAGAACTCAAGTAAATTTTCCATGAGGGTCAAGTGCTAGGAAAGGATTATCTCTGAAACAATGTTTGTTCCATTTTAATAAATAATTGCAGAAATAATAAACACTGTGTCGGATGATGAACATCATGTGGCACGTGAAAATGAAGTACCTCTGATTAGATAAACAGATACGATTATTTTCAAATTAGTGTTTTCTCATTATTCTACAACTCCATTCTTTGATCACAATTTTTCCCTTTCTTGACGATAAAATTAACTTCTAGATCAATGGCTCGGGCACCGCCATGTCCAAGTCACCCTCTGCTTCCTCCTCCTGGGCATCGCCTACGCCATGCGCGTCAACCTCTCCGTGGCCATCGTCGCCATGACTGACAAGAGCACCACTTCCAACCCCGACATTCCCGTAAGTCTCCGCTTCTAGTCAACCCCAACTAACGTTTCCTCTGCAGACGTACGACTGGGACGACAAAAGCGTCGTCCTCTCTTCGTTCTATTGGGGCTACGTGGTCCTGCAAGTCTTCGCTGGTCAGTTCGGCCAAACCTACGGACCCAAATGGTTCCTCGTGGTGTCCATGGTGGTCAACTCCATCGTCTGTATGTTGACACCAGTAGTTGCCGATAATCTGGGTTCCAAAGGCGTCATGGGCATTCGAGTGATCCAGGGACTGTTCCAAGGTTTCATTTACCCGTCGGTTCATAACCTTCTCGGGAAATGGGCACCCACGCCAGAACGGTCCCGCATGGGCACTTTCGTCTACTCGGGCTCGTCGTTCGGTACCATCATCGCCATGCCCATCACTGGCTTAATTTCGGCGAGCTGGGCGGGCTGGCCCATCAGTTTTTACACTTTTGGCAGCATGGGGTTGCTGTGGGTGGTGTTGTGGGTGTTCATGGGGTCGAATAGTCCAGCGGAACATAAAACGATTTCGGACGAGGAGAGGTCCTACATTGAGACTAGTTTAGGTCAAGTGGAACACAGGGTTATACCTACACCATGGAAGGCCATCTTCATGTCGTTACCAATGTGGGCGATAATCGTAGGCAACTTTGGCCAAAACTGGGGCTACTCCACCCTGCTTACCGAAATCCCCAACTACATGAACAAAATCATGGGTTTCGACATGGCTTCTGTTAGTTTTTGGCAACCATTAAAGCACACTTATTGTCTTCTTTGATTCTAGAACAGCTTATTGTCAGCCGCGCCGTACTTAGCTCTATGGATTCTCTCATTCGTTTTTGGGCCCATTTCAGACTACTTAATCAACACCAAAATCCTATCCCGTGCCACCGTTCGCAAGATCTTCAACTCAATTGGTAAACGCGACACTGTAGATAGTTTCGGTACTACTTCTCGTTGTAGGTGTCTGCGGGCCGGCTATAGCCCTAGTGGTTTTGGGCTTCGTCTCCTCCGAAGAGACCACACTATCGGTCATCCTTCTAGTCATCGCAGTCGGTGTCAACGCAGCCGTCTTCTGCGGCTTCCAAGTCAACCACATAGATCTAGCTCCAAACCACGCCGGAGTACTTATGGGCATCACCAACGGCTCGTCTAACATTTTTTCCATCATAGCACCTCTCGTGGTTCAAGTCGTGGTGTACGACGAAGAGGAAAAAGCTCTGTGGAGGATCATTTTCATCATTGCTGCTTGCGTCTACGTGGCTTCAGCCATCTTCTACAACATTTTCGCGGACGGGGAGATCCAGTCCTGGAACGACATAGAAGCTAGCGAGAAAAATGAAGAAGCGAAAGAAGAAACTGAAGAGAAGACGAGACTATAACTAGTTTTTAATCTATTTATGTATTTTTGTAATAAAGTAGTGTTAAAACACGAAATCTTTTTGTCCGCCGCGTCGTGGATCGAAAGCGGCTTCCAAAGTACCGCTTTTTCGGGAGATGGCAGTCACTGCATTGAACCCAAGACGGGTTTGAATTTCGTAGTCGTGCCCCAATTGGTGAAGAGCATCCACCAAATCCATATTCTATAAATAAAATATAGAAAATATTTTGTCTCGATTGAGTTAGAGTCGTACTTGTTCGAACTGTATCTTCATCGGAAACAACTGATGATGGAAGCGTTGACTCGAAACGGCCTCCTGAAGACCCAAATCGAACCACAAGTGTTTAATGATGACCAAAGCGACCGACGTGATGATCTTAGGGCCTCCAGCAGCCCCCACCACCATTTCTACGTCGCCATTTTTGTCAAGAATTATACTAGGGCACATTGACGATAAAGGTCGCTTTCCGGGTTGGATAAAATTGACACGTGACGGTGGTAATCGGTACCCGCTCAAAATCGTCGGCGACGAAAAATCATCCATGGTGTTATTCAAAATGATTCCGGTACTTTTTGACATAAAGCCGGCCCCCCAGCTACAAAAAAGTGTCAAACTTTGACAAAAACTACCAAGTGTACTCAAAATTGATGCTACTGGTTGCTACCACTGCGTCTCCGTTGGGTGCCACGACACAAATGTTGGCAGTAGTGGCGTCTGAAATGATAGTACCAGTGGTTTTGGCACCGTAAAAGGTCGGGTCTTGACAGGTTTGGTTTGGTACGAGTTCCCTGATTGTGCGGGCGTAATCCACGGACGTGAGTCTACGGATTAACTAGGGGTGGGTTAGAAGGGTTGAGTACTAGGACTTACGGTACTAAAGTCGGCGAAATTGGGGTCACCGAGTTTCGTTCTTTGACCAAACGCAAATTTAAAACTTTCGACGATTTTACTAAAGTTGTTTGTGGATGACGGGTGTGATAGGTCGAGAAAATCCTGAAGGATGTTTAAAATTAGGGCGAGGACTAAGCCGCAGCCTGGAAGGGGCGAAGTGTAGAGGGTTTGCCCACACGGGAGGTCCATCTGAATGGGTGTTTTCCATTCCGGTCTACAAAACACAATTAAATCGTTGATTATATTTTCCAAAATCGGTACTTGTAACAAGTCATATCGTCTTCGGTGATTATGCCTCCGTTGTCTCTGATGTCGTCGACAAACTTTTGGGTTAGTTTTCCTCCGTATAACACATCAGCGCCTCCAGTAGCCACTTCTTCTAGAGTTTTCCTCAACCATGGTCGCTTGATGTATTCATACGGCTTACTTGTCTCCGGATCTACAAACATTTTTCTACGAGTGGTTAGTACTTCCACTTCTTCACCCTACTTTAAACCCTCATCATTTGACAACACCTCGACGTCCAGCGCGGCTATTCTTTTCACAAAAGTACTAATCGGAACTCCGTTTTTACACAAATCTATGCTTGGTTGGAGTAAATCCTTCCATGGTACTGCTCCCCCGTGCTTTTGGTAAACCTCCCAGTACCCTTTCAGCTCTCCGGGTACTGCAGCAGATAAACCTCCCCTAGTGCAAAGATTGGTGTCACTGCCAAACATGTCTTCGGTTGCCGCCAACGGTGCCACTTCTCTGGAATCCAGGGTATGAACCACCCCTGTGTCTTTTTTGTAAATGGTCATGATAAAACCACCACCTACACCCATGGTGTTGGGTGCGGCGACTCCTTCGCTTAACATGGCGGCTATGGCTGCATCCACCGCGGTACCACCTTTTCTTAAAATGGCACCCCCGATTTGGGCACATGGAGGGGCGTTTGTCACTACAACACCTTTCGGGGAAGGAATGGTACTCAGGAACTTTGATAAAGGTACGAATTTCATTAGAAACTGTCACGACGTGTCATGCGAAAATGACACTAGTACCATTGTTTAAGTATATTATAGTTGGACAACCTATACGGACAATCACTTTCCCATGTAGAAAAGAATGAATATACATTTTACATCTCACTCGCTTCACTATGAAGTGGCGGTACCTTACGAAAGGGGGTAAAAATAGTCTGTAAGCACGTGATGTCGATAAGGTAGTAAACGGACGTATTAATCAGTACGTTGTACGTACGGGGAGCAGTCACAAAATAAGCAAACGTACATTCGTGTTGAAGACTTTACATAAAGTATAAATAACGAAAAACTGAAAATCCAAAAACAAAAAATAGAAAAATCTAGAAGTCGAAAAATCAAAGAATCGAAGTATTGAAAAATATCAAAACTGAAAGAAATATCCAAAAATTGAGAAATCTAAAAACCAATAAAGCGAAGTCGAAAAATCGAAGAATTGAAGAACTGAAAAATCGAAACTTTGAGAAGAACTGAAAACTAAAAAAATCTAAAAAAATTAATAATTTAAAAATTGAAAAGTTAAAATTGAGAAATCGAAAAACTGAAAAATCACAAAATTGAACGAAATATCCAAAAATTAGGAAATTAAAAAATTGAGAAACAGAAAAGTCAAAAAAGCAGAGTCGAAAAATCGCAAACTTAAAATATCTAAAAATTGAAAAATCAAAAACCTGAATAATCGAAAAATTGAAGAACTGAAGAACTGAAAAATCGAAACTTTAGGAAGTGGAGAAATGGGAATATAAAAAAATAGATTAATTGAGAAATCCGAAAACTAGAAATTCAGAAACGCCAAATTTGAAAAATAAAAAAATATTAAGAACTGAAAAATCGAAAAATCTAATATTTAAAACATTGAAAAGTTAAAATATCCTAAAACTGAAAAATGGAGAAATCCAAACATCAAAAATTCGAAAATCTAAAATTTAAAAATCGAAAAACTGAAAAATCAACGAATCGAGAAGTCGAAAATTTAAAAAATTGGAAAATTGAAATATGGGATAAATCAAAAATCGAAACATCGACAAATCGAGAAACCGAGGAGCAAAAAATCGAAAAACCAACAAATCGAAAAATCGAAACATTGTAAAACTCAAAAATTGAGACATCGAGAAATCGAAAAATCAAAAGACAAAAAAATCGAGGAGTCGAACAACCGAGAAGTCGAAAAATCGAAAACTTAAATATGGAAAAATTGATAAAGCGACAGATTGAATAATCAAAACATCGAAACATCCGAATCTCAATAAATTGAGATCTCAAAAAATTTAAAAATTCGGAAATTTGAAGAATTAAAATATAGAAGTGGAAACTCGAGAAACCGAAAAATCTAGAAATTTAAAAATTAAAATATAGAAAAGTTGAAAAATTGAGAAATTGAAATATAAAACAATCGGAAAATTGAAAAATCTAAAGTATAAAAAACGAAAAACTGAAAATCGAAAAATAAAAAATCGAAAAATCTAGAAGTCGAAAAATCAAAGAATCGAAGTATTGAAAAATATCAAAACTGAAAGAAATATCCAAAAATTGAGAAATCTAAAAACCAATAAAGCGAAGTCGAAAAATCGAAGAATTGAAGAACTGAAAAATCGAAACTTTGAGAAGAACTGAAAACAAAAAAAATCGAAAAAAAATAATAATTTAAAAATTGAAAAGTTAAAATTGAGAAATCGAAAAACTGAAAAATCACAAAATTGAACGAAATATCCAAAAATTAGGAAATTAAAAAATTGAGAAACAGAAAAGTCAAAAAAGCAGAGTCGAAAAATCGCAAACTTAAAATATCTAAAAATTGAAAAATCAAAAACCTGAATAATCGAAAAATTGAAGAACTGAAGAACTGAAAAATCGAAACTTTAGGAAGTGGAGAAATGGGAATATAAAAAAATAGATTAATTGAGAAATCCGAAAACTAGAAATTCAGAAACGCCAAATTTGAAAAATAAAAACATATTAAGAACTGAAAAATCGAAAAATCTAATATTTAAAACATTGAAAAGTTAAAATATCCTAAAACTGAAAAACGGAGAAATCCAAACATCAAAAATTCGAAAATCTAAAATTTAAAAATCGAAAAACTGAAAACTCAACGAATCGAGAAGTCGAAAATTTAAAAAATTGAAAAATTGAAATATGGGATAAATCAAAAATCGAAACATCGAAAAATCGAGAAACCGAGGAGCAAAAAATCGAAAAATCGAAACATTGAAAAATTCAAAAATTGAGACATCGAGAAATCGAAAAATCAAAAGATAAAAAAATCGAGGAGTCGAACAATCGAGAAGTCGAAAAATCGAAAAATTGAGAAACCGAAATAGGCCAAAATCGAAAAATCGAAAACTTAAATATGGAAAAATTGATAAAGCGAGAGATTGAATAATCAAAACATCGAAACATCCGAATCTCAATAAATTGAGATCTCAAAAGTTTAAAAATTCGGAAATTTGAAGAATTAAAATATAGAAGTGGAAACTCGAGAAACCGAAAAATCTAGAAATTTAAAAATTAAGATATGGAAAAGTTGAAAAATTGAGAAATTGAAATATAAAACAATCGGAAAATTGAAAAATCTAAAGTATAAAAAACGAAAAACTGAAAATCCAAAAATAAAAAATAGAAAAATCTAGAAGTCGAAAAATCAAAGAATCGAAGTATTGAAAAATATCAAAACTGAAAGAAATATCCAAAAATTGAGAAATCTAAAAACCAATAAAGCGAACGAGACTTCGAGAAATCGAGAAATTGAAGAGTCGGAAGCCGAAAAGGAAAGTTAAAAATTGAAAAATTGAGAAATTGAACAATCAAAACCACGAAACATCTGAATTCGATAAATTGAGAAATTAAAAAATTGAATAATCGAAAAATTTTAAAAAAGAAAAACTGGAAAATCGAAAATTAAAATTAAAAAAATCGAAAAATTGAAAAATTGAAATATAGAAGAATTGAAAACTCGAGATATCGAAAAACCTAGAATTTTAAAAAATGAAATATTAAAGCATCGAAAAGTTGAAAAATTGAGAAATCGAAGCATTAAACAGTAGCATAATTGAAAAATCTAAAGTTTACAATAAATTGAAAATCCAAAAAGTAAAAAATCGAGAAATCAAAAGAAATCCATCAATTCAAAAATCGAAAAGTCGAAAAATTGAAATACTGAAAAATCTCATAACTGAAAAAAATATTCAAAAAATTGAGAAATTAAAAAATTGGAAAATTGAGAAATCGAAAATCTAAAACAGCAAAATCGAAAAATCGTAATCTTAAAAAATCGAAAAATTGAAGACTTGAAGGTGTGAAAAATCGAAACTTTAGGAAGTCCAGAAATGGGCAAATAAAAAAAAACTTTAGAAATCGACAAACTGAAAATTTAGAAACGTGAAAATTTGAAAAATTGAAAAATCGAAATATTTAAAAGCCGTAAAATTGAAGAGGACAAAATTGAGAAATCGTATCATTGAAACATCGAAAGATTGAGAAATCGAAAAATAAAAGAATCGAGAAATAGAAAATTTGAAGAATGGAAGAATCGGAGAAACCCAAAAATGAAATATTGAAAAATTGAGAGATTTAAAGTTGAAAAATCGAGAAATCGACAAGCCGAAAAATCTCAATAACGTATTTATAAATCAGGACTATGCTACTTTTTAAAATTTAAATAACATTATAAATTGAAAAATATTGATTTTTTTCCAAAAATCTTTATGTCTAAGGTGAAAACTCGACACGGATGCACATTTTATTTATTTTATCTTGTTTTCGAAATATAATAAACATTTCAAACAATGTCTGTAACTTATTTTAATGTAAATTATATTCATGTGGTTAACAAAATCAGATGTAATATTAGTGTGATTTTGGCCTTTGAAGTTTATGTCATTCTGTTATTTACTTTGAATATATATTTTTATTTTGTGTTAATATTTTTGTAACACCACGATTCTAAATTTTACTTAAAATCTTGTTTTACTTTAATCTTGTAAAACTAAACAATTATACCAGTTTAAAAACCCTTGGTAAGTTTCTGTCAGTCTTCAGATATAGTCAAATAAAAGTAGGAGTCAAATTCATTTAAATTCAATTCTTTCGTATCACGTTACAACGCGTTGCTTTATATTTTTTATGTCAAGTATATTTTCATATTTTGTACATATATGTTTATACACATTACTGTTTACGGAACAATGTTAATTATGGATTTATGGATAACTCCTCGTATAAGAGCAGAGTGAAGGGTGTTTGCCTTTGCTAATGTTTGATGGCGCCATCTGATGTAGAGTAAAATAAACCTAATACGTTGGCTCACTGTAGTGAAAATGTGCGTTGACGAAAAATTTGTCCCACGCCCCCTGGATTCCTTGTCCTAAAGCTCACTATTTAGGCGAAGTAAAATTTGTATTAGGTTGTCCAACTATAATATACTTAAACAATGCTAGTACTGTTTGTCAAATGGATAACTCCACTCAAGTTAAAAATATTTTATTGGCACTTAATTTATAATAAAATAAATAGTCACTAGTTAACACTCTTATCAATAGATAATAGCAACCTCTCCCGTCCTCCTTTGATCCGTGGCGGTCCTCACCGTGCCGCCTTTTCGAGAAATGGAAGTCACAGCCGAAAAACCAGTACTCTCTGAGATTTCATAGACGTGTCCTATTGTACGTAAAGCTTCAAGGAAATCCGTATCCTACAAAGACACATAAAATTAATAAAATCACTGTATTCGTAAACGAAAACCACCCACTTCTTTAAAGGGTTGTTCCAACGACACCACCATCGGGAACAGCTGGTGGTGCATCCTCCTGCTCGAAACCGCCTCTTGTATAGGAATGTTAAACCACAAATTCTTAATGGCGATCTGTGCCACAGACGTAGTGATCTTGGTACCACCTGCAGCCCCTATTACCAGTTCGACTTCGCCATCCTCTGCCACGATGATGGAGGGACACATCGAAGACAGAGGTCTCTTCCCGGGCTTGATGTAATTGGCCACCGAAGGCGGCATCCCGAAGCTGTTGTCCATGTTTGGGGACGAAAAGTCGTCCATTTCGTCGTTGAGGATGATCCCGGTACTATCTGACATGAAGCCGGCGCCGAAACTACGACGAGAGTGTTTAGTGCTTGACGGGAGTACGACTTTGACTTACTAGAGGTTGATGGTACTGGTGACGGAGACTGCGTCTCCGTTGGGGGCTAAAACCGAAACGTGGGCAGTACCGGAGTCTTCAGGTTGAACGGTTTTAGCTCCGTAGTACTCCGGGTCTTGGTGGGTACCAGTGTCGGAGATTTCTTGTCGGATACCGGCGGCGTACGAAGCAGAGGTCAAATTTGTAATTAACTCGTTGATGTTATCAACGAACTTGCTGTCACCGAGTTCTGTTCTTCTCCCGTAGCCGAACTTGAAGCTTTCGATGATTCGTTGCCAGTTTTCCACAGAATCGGGTTGGGTGTAGTCTATGAATCCGTTCAGGATGTTCATGATGAAGCCAAGAATGACTCCAGATCCGGGTAGTGGGGAAGTGTACAGTACTTGATTGGAAGGTAGAGAGATGGTGACGGGTTCTTGCCATTCGATCCTACGAACGACATTTAGTACTACTCTTTCACACCTAGACGTACAATCGCACGCAAATGTTTTGAGCCTATGGGCGGATCGTTTTTGCCTGCCCTCACCGAAGAAGGCGGTCCAAATCCTTCAAGGGCAGAATTTGTAGGTAGGCTCAAACTACAACGAAATTTACATTTGGTAAGAAATATTTATGGCTCACACCAGTTCTCTCGAATTTGTCGGAGAAGATTTAGTAGGTAGTTGTTCCCATAAAATAATGGTCACTTTCGTTCGTGAGTAACGATGGTCCGGACATGAATTATTTTGCTTTATAACATCTTTCGACCAATTGTTCCGTATAAAAAATTTCATCACTTTTTCAAATAAAATACTCCCCACCAATAATGTGATGACGTCACTTCAAATTTATGCATAGGAAATGAGTTTTAAATTGTATACAGTAACATAGTCCTACACATGTAGTTTATGACTCCGTGTTGAGTTTTTATTATATTTTGGAAAAAAAATCAAAATTATGAAACAATATTTTGCAATTTAATTTTGAATTTGCAAAATCGAATAATTTGAAATCTTGCAGATGTTTTAAAGTCATGATAAACATGATTTAATTAAAATATATTTGCTTATCCCCTCTAAAAAATTTATGACGTCACCTCAAAATTTTGCAAAATAAATCCTATCTTAAATGTATAAAATATGATGAGTTTTTATACTTGTGATTTATCACTGCATTAATGTTTTTTAGATTTGGTTATACAGGGTGTCTCAAAAAAGTTAATGACTGAGTCAATTTATTTTATTGAAGAAATCAAGAATAGCAAAACTGAATACTTTGAAATATTGTAGATGTTTTGAAGTTTTTGTAAGCATGGTAACTTTTTCGAAAATTTGATTAATCAAATATGCGCAAAATCAAAAATCGGAAAAACTGAAATTCACTAATGCAAAAAACAGAAAATCGAAAAATACAAATCGTAAAAATCGAAAATCTAAAAATGGCTAATCAAAAAATCGAAAATTCAATGAATCAAATACCTAGGTCGATCGAAAAGTGGAAATTCACAAACCTCAAAAATCGAAAATTGAAAAACGGGAAAACCAAAAAATCGAAAAGTCAAAAATTTGTAGTATTGAAAATTAAAAAAATCAAAAACAAAAATAAAAAAAATCAGAAATTAAAATAATCAAAATATATAAATTAGAAAAAAATTGCAAAGCCTAAAAACTGAAACGAACAGAAAATCGAAAAAGTGGAAAATCGAAAATCTGAATAAAGAAACTTGGAAATTCTGAAAATTGGAAAATCGAAAACCAAAAAATCGGGAAGTAACAAAATTGAAGTCTAACAGTTGAGAATAGAAAAACTGAAAAACCGAAAATTCTAAAAATCGACAATGGACAAATTGAAAAACGCAAAATTTAAATTGAACAATTGAACATAGAAAAATCGATGAATTGAAAAATCGAAAATTCGACTACTCAAATTTTCTAAAAATCGAAAAATCATAAAACGGAAAAATCCAAAATTCTAATGATCGAAAGTCTGAAAACTGAAAATCGAAAATTCTGAAAAGCGGAAAATAGAATATCGAAAAAATTAAAAGAAAGAAAATTGAAGTCTAAAAACCGAAGAATGGCAAAATTAAAAATCAAAAATTCGAAAAATCAAAACCGAAAAATTCAAAGATTTAAAAAGAAAATCGAAAAATCAAAAATCTGAAAATTGAAACTCGAAAATTTGGAAAATCGAAAAGTAAAAAAATTGAAGTCTAAAAGCTGAAAAATGGAAAACTGAACAATCGAAAATTCGAAAATCGAATATCGAAAAATCGAAAAGCCGAAAAATCGAAAATTTGATAAATCAGATATGCGAAAAACAGAAAATCTGAAAATAGAAAACTGGAAAATCAAAAATTTAAAAATGGAAAAACCGAAAATCGAAAATTCAATGAATCTAATACGTAGGTCGATCGAAAAACTGGAAATTCACAAATCTGAAAAATCGAAAATTTGCAAGATTGAAAAACCGAGAATTGAAAAATCAAAAAACCGAAAAATGGAGAAATCAAAAATCGAAAAATAGGAAAACCGAAAATTCGAAAATTCATAATATTGAAAACTCTAAAAGTCGACAATTCAAAAATCAAAAAATTGGAAAGTAAAATAATCGAAAAATCGAAAAGTAAACAAATTGCAAAGCCTAAAAACTGACGAACAGAAAAATCGAAAAATCGTAAAATCAAAAAGTAGAAAATCCAAAACTGGAAATTGAAAAATCGAAGATTGGAAAATCGAAAAATCGAAAATCGACAAATTAAAAAACCGAAAAATCGAAAATCGAATAATCCGAAACTAAATTAATAGAAAAGTGGAAAAGTAAAAATTGCAAAGTCTCAAAACTGACGAACAGAAAAATCGAAAAATAAAAAAAAATCGAAAAATATCTGAAAATGGAAAATCGGAAAATGGAAAAACCGAAAATTCGATTAAACAAATACTCGAAAAAACGAAAAGTAAAAAAATTGCAAGGCCTAAAAATTGAAAAATCAAAAAATGGGAAAAATGAAATTCGAAAAAACGACGATCGAAAAGAAATAAAAAAAATTTAAAAGTAACAAAATTGAAATCTAAAAGCTGAAGAAGGGAAAATTCTAAAACGCAACAATCGAAAAAAGCAAAATTAAAAATTGAAAATTTGAAAAATGGAAAATCGAAAACTCGAATATCGAGATTTTGAAAAATCGTAAAAATGATAATCGAAAAATCGAAAATTCGATTAATCAATATTCTAAAAATCGAAAAAACGGACACAAATCCACAAATGTGAAAAATCGAAAATCAAAATAAGAAAAATTGAAAAACCGAAAAATTGAAAAATCCCAAATCGAAAAATGGAAAAACCGAAAATTCAAAAATCAAACTATCGGAAAGTAAAATAATCGAAAAATGGAAAAATAAAACAAATTGCAGAACCATAAAAACTGAAACAAACAGAAAAATCGAAAAACCACAAAAGCGGAAAAACGAAAATCGAAAAATCGTAAAATCAGAAAATGGAAAATCGAAGGTCGAGAAATAAAACAACCGAAAAATCGAAAAATTATTTATTAATGGAAAATCGAAAAATCGAGAATAGAAGAATTAAAAACGTAAAATCGAGAATTCAAAAATCAAAAAATCGGAAAGTAAAATATAATCGAAAAATGCAAAAAAATTGCAAAATCTAAAAACTGACGAACAGAAAAATCCAGAAATCTAAAAATGGAAAGACGAAAAATCGAAAATTGAAAGAATGGCAAGTCAAAAAATCGAAACATCGAAAAATCAAAAAAACGAAAAATTAAAAAATCGAAAAACGAAAAAACTAAAAACTCGAAAATTCAAAATACCGCAAATTTGAAAAATCAGAAAATTGGAAAGTAATAAAATCGAAAAGTTGATAGAAAAATTGAAACTGAAAAATCTAATTCGATGAAATGGTTGGTCGAAAAAACGAAAAATCGAAAATCGAAGTGATCTTTTTTTGAGACAGGCTGTATAAGTAAATCTAAAAAATATTACTGCAATGATAAATCACAGGTACTGACTCATCATATCAAATTTTACGATGACGTCATGCATTTTTTGGCGAAGATAAGCAAATACATTTTGATCGTGGCTTTGAAAGTATTCTTCGACTTTCGTTCCATTTCAAAATTTACTCTTTGTATATTTCAGTGGTCACAACGAGTTCACTAACTACGCTGAAGTATGCGAAGATTAAATTTGTCACCGAAAAGATGTCGGAAGTAATAAATTATCCTATCGGTCGAAAAACGTTCGGTCCGGTGTTACACCTCGACTCAAGAGAGACCGCAGTAAAGGATAACAAATGAAACGGATAAAGTAAAGCGTCAAACATGATTGATAAACTTTAAACCAAAATTATGAAGTTTATAAACTGAACATTTTTTTTGTTTTTTGAAATGTAGTACACTTCAAAAAATGTCCGTGACTTATTTTAATATGAATTTTATAACTATGGTTGGCACAATTAGACCTAATATTAGTGTGATTTTGAGCATATTCTCGATTTTATTAGAGCAGAATAGTTTTTTTTTTCTAATTTTATAACTTACGGAAACTAATAGCACATCACAGATATTGCAAAAAAAATTGGGTTCAGGTTCTAACGAATCGACAAGATTTCAAAGTATTCAGTTTTGCAATTCTTGATTTCTTCAATAAAATAAATTGACTCAGTCATTATTTTTTTTGAGTCACCCTGTATGTATAAACAAATCCAAAAAATATTAATGGAATGGTAAATCACAAGTATAGACTCATCATATTCTGAACATTTTAGATAGGGTATTTATAAAATTAAAACTAATTCAGAGTAAGAATTTGTTCAACACGTAACTTTCGTTGTAGTTTGAGCCTACCTACAAATTCTGCCCTTGGACGATTTGGACCGCCTCCTTCGGTGACGATCGGCAAAAATGATCCGCCCATAGGCTCAAAACATTTGCGTGCGATTGTACTTACCTGTAATTCTTCATATCTTCCACAGTGATGATCCCTCCCTTCTGTTTCACGTCGTTGACAAACCCCTCCGTCAAGTCCCCGTTATACAACACATTCGCCCCCTGCTTCGCTATCTTTTCCAAAGTCTTCGCCAGCCTGGGTCTCTTCACGTACTGCCCCTGCACGTACGTCGAGTTCGTCGCCGGGTCAATGTAAGTCTCCCTGAAACCACCCCCTTCAAGAGCTTACCTCACTCACCGGCCACTCACCTCAGCGGCGTGTCCTTCCTCAGCGTCTCTTCCACGCTCTTGTACAGCCGCCCCAGGTACTCCGTCACCAAGATCCCGTTGTTGCATAGATCAATCGTGGGTTGCACCAACTCCTTCCAAGCCACATTGCCGCCGAACCTATGGTAGGCTTCCCAGTACCCCAGCAGTTCCCCGGGTACTGCAACCGCCAGCCCGCCTTTCGTGCTCAGCGCGGGGTTGCCGTCGAACATGTTCTCGGAGGCGAGGTCGGGGGCGGCTTCGCGCGCGTTCAGCGTGATGGCCGAGCGGTTCTGGCGGTTGTAGATGGTCATGAGGAAGCCGCCCCCCAGGCCCATGCTCTGCGGCATCGAGACGCCCTCGCAGAAGAGCGCCGCGATGGCGGCATCTACGGCATTGCCGCCCTTCCGGAGGATGGAGGCGCCGATGTCGGCGCACGTGTGGCCGTTGGTGACGACGGCACCTCTGGGGATGCTGTCAGAGTCAGTGCTGTTTTTGACTAGGTAGTAGATAATCACACCTATGATGGCGACGACGACGACGGCTGTGATGAAGAAGGCGAAGTACTTGTAGGGTTTGCGCAGTCTGGAATGGTACGGGGGGTGAGATTGGTGAGAGTTCTGTTTATTGTAGGTTTAGTTTTTATAAGACTTTTATCTACAAAGTTTTTATCAGTTTGGTAATAATCATAAATCATAATGTGTCCGAGGAATATTCCGATGTATTGTGTGTTGCATACATATTTAAAAGCACTAGGATAAGCAATGATTAATTAAACAAGATTTTTAGGTGTTAACTATAGTTATAACACGTATTGACTTTAACATTTACACAGGAATGTCTTAATCAATGAAATCAGCTTCCGAAATATCCGTTCAATCGTTCTCAAAATCAATTTTTTTGTCTTTTCTTATATAAATCTGAAGAAATAATGTATTTGTGACTTAATTGCATGATCAATATCTTAATCAATTGAATCAATATCTCGAATCACAATTAAAAAATTGGTTGAAAGTTATTTTGTCAGAACTTCCCTTGCCCCTGAAGTACAGTCCAACAAACTGCTTTTTCGAAACATTATAAGATTTGATTTTGCGGAATTTTATTTTTTTCTGATCACTTCTATGGAGTAAAAACAATATAGAAAGTACTAATTACAGTGTAAGAAAAAAAAAAGAAAGTTTCGCCTTCTTAAAAAAAAACATTTGGGGCTCCCGAGAAGGTTTCATATTCTTAAAAAAAATAGTCGGGGTCCCCGAGAAGTTTTACATTCTTAAAAAAAAAAAACTATCGGGGCCCCGGAGAAGGTTTTACGTTCTTAAAAAAAAAAAAAAAAACAGTCGGGGCCCCCGAGAAGTTTTCACCTTGTTAAAAAAAAACATTTGGGGACCCCGAGAAGGTTTCACCTTGTCAAAAAAAAAACAGCTGGGGCCCTCGAGAAGGTTTTACTTTGCTAAGAAAAAACAGTTGGGGCCCCGAGAAGGTTTCATATTCTTAAAAAAAAAAACAGTTGAGGCCCCCGAGAAGGTTTCAACTTATTAAAAAAAAACAGTTGGGGCCCCCGAGAAGGTTTCACCTTGTTAAAAAAAACAGTTGGCGCCCTCGAGAAGGTTTCACTTTGTTAAAAAAAAAAACAGTTGGGGCTCTCGAGAAGGTTTCACTTTGTTAAAAAAAAAAACAGTTGAGGCCCCCGAGAAGGTTTCAACTTATTAAAAAAAAACAGTTGGGGCCCCCGAGAAGGTTTCACCTTGTTAAAAAAAACAGTTGGCGCCCTCGAGAAGGTTTCACTTTGTTAAAAAAAAAATAGTTGTTGCCCCCGAGAAGGTTTCATATTCTTAAAAAAAAATAGTCGGGGTCCCCGAGAAGTTTTACATTCTTAAAAAAAAAAAAACTGTCGGGGCCCCCGAGAAGGTTTTACATTCTTAACAAAAAAAACAGTCGGGGCCCCCGAGAAGTTTTCACCTTGTTAAAAAAAATATTTGAGAACCCCGAGAAGGTTTCACCTTGTTAAACAAAAACCAGTTGGGGCCCTCGAGAATGTTTCACTTTGTTAAAAAAAAAAACACAATTGGGGCCCCCGAGAAGGTTTCATATTCTTAAAAAAAAAAAACAGTTAGGCCCCCGAGAAAGTTTCACCTTGTTAAAAAAAACAGTTGGCGCCCTCGAGAAGGTTTCATCTTGTTAAAAAAAAAACATTTGGGGCCCCCGAGAAGGTTTCATATTCTTAAAAAAAATAGTCGGGGCCCCCGAGAAGGTTTTACATTCTTAAAAAAAAAACAGGCGGGGCCCCCGAGAAGTTTTTACCTTGTTAAAAAAAAACATTTGGGGACCCCGAGAAGGTTTCACCTTGTTAAAAAAAAAACAGTTGGGGCCCTCGAGAATGTTTCACCTTGTTAAAAAAAAAAACAATTGGGGCCCCCGAGAAGGTTTTACATTCTTAAAAAAAAACAGTCGGGGCCCCCGAGAAGGTTTTACCTTGTTAAAAAAACAGTTGTGTCCCCCGAGGTTTCATATTCTTAAAAAAAAAACAGTCGGGGCTCCCGAGAAGGTTTCAACTTATTAAAAAAAAACAGTTGGGGCCCCCGAGAAGGTTTCACCTTGGTAAAAAAAACAGTTGGCGCCCTCGAAAAGGTTTCACTTTGTTAAAAAAAAAAAACAGTTGGGGCTCTCGAGAAGGTTTCACTTTGTTAAAAAAAAAAACAGTTGAGGCCCCCGAGAAGGTTTCAACTTATTAAAAAAAAACAGTTGGGGCCCCCGAGAAGGTTTCACCTTGTTAAAAAAAACAGTTGGCGCCCTCGAGAAGGTTTCACTTTGTTAAAAAAAAAATAGTTGTTGCCCCCGAGAAGGTTTCATATTCTTAAAAAAAAATAGTCGGGGTCCCCGAGAAGTTTTACATTCTTAAAAAAAAAAAACTGTCGGGGCCCCCGAGAAGGTTTTACATTCTTAAAAAAAAAAAACAGTCGGGGCCCCCGAGAAGTTTTCACCTTGTTAAAAAAAATATTTGAGAACCCCGAGAAGGTTTCACCTTGTTAAACAAAAACCAGTTGGGGCCCTCGAGAATGTTTCACTTTGTTAAAAAAAAAAAACACAATTGGGGCCCCCGAGAAGGTTTCATATTCTTAAAAAAAAAAAACAGTTAGGCCCCCGAGAAAGTTTCACCTTGTTAAAAAAACAGTTGGCGCCCTCGAGAAGGTTTCATTTTGTTAAAAAAAAAACATTTGGGGCCCCCGAGAAGGTTTCATATTCTTAAAAAAAATAGTCGGGGCCCCCGAGAAGGTTTTATATTCTTAAAAAAAAAACAGGCGGGGCCCCCGAGAAGTTTTTACCTTGTAAAAAAAAACATTTGGGGACCCCGAGAAGGTTTCACCTTGTTAAAAAAAAACAGTTGGGGCCCTCGAGAATGTTTCACCTTGTTAAAAAAAAAAACAATTGGGGCCCCCGAGAAGGTTTCATATTCTTAAAAAAAAAACAGTTGGGGCCCCCGAGGTTTCATATTCTTAAAAGAAAAAAACAGTCGGGGCCCCCGAGAAGGTTTCAACTTGTTAAAAAAAGCAGTAGGGTCCCCCGAGAAGGTTTCATATTCTTTAAAAAAACAGTCGGAGCCCCCGAGAAGGTTTTACCTTAAAAAAAACAGTTGGGGCCCCAAGAAGGTTTTATATTCATAAAATAATAAATAATGTTGTATTTACCATTTGCGTTGTTTATATTTACGTTGTTACTTCATTATATTTATTAATTTTAGTTTTAGATGTAATTCTGTATATCCTCGAGCTATATCTTACTTTACCTTGTATAAGTTTGTATTGTCCTATAAATGGATAAAGCCTGTTGAGCACAATTAATTATTATTATTATTATTAAAAAAAATAGTTGGGGCCCCCTCGAAGGTTTCACATTCTTAAAAAAAGACACTTGGGACTTCTAGAAAGTTTTACCTTCTTAAAAAAAAACAATTGGGACCTCGAAGAAAGTATAGACTACATCAAAATTTTCAAAATGCTAAAAAAATGACGTCCAAGATGTTCTGGGTCCGACTGTACTTAAAGCAGATAACCAACGGGAAAAAATGTTAATACATATTCTCAATTTCTCCATACATGCTTAATTTCGACTGTTTATTTCTTATATATGAATGTTAAATTTAGGGTAAAATTGGAAAATAACGTCATCATTTTTAGGGGGAGATAAACGAAAACATTTTCATCAACGATTTACCATGGTTACGATGACCATACAAAGCTTACAAGTTTTCAGAATATTCGGTTTTACAGTTTCAAAGTTAATTTGTAAAAAGTTGTTGTTGAAAAATCGAAAAATTAAAAATTCGATAAATCGGGAAATTAAGAAATCGAAAAATCAAAAAATTTAAAAACGCCAAAAATTGAAAAATAAAAAAATTTAAATACATAAATCCCAAAACTGAAATGTCGAAAAATTGGAAACTTGAATAATCGAAAAGACGAATAATCGAAAAACTGACAAATCGAAATATCGAAAGACTGAAAAGTTAATTTCGAAAAATTGAAAATTTACAAAATCGAGAAGTCCAAACATCAACAAATCGAAAAATCAAAAAATTGAAAAATTTGAAAATGGAAGATTTAAAAATCGCAAAATTTTGAAAAATCCAATAAGTAAAATGAAACATTGAATTTGAAAATCGCAAAAATCGCGAAATCGGAAAGACGAAAAATTAAAAAATCCATTAATCACGAACACATAAAAAGATCGAGAAGTCGAGAAGTCGAAAAATCGAAAAATTTTAACTGAAAAAAACAAAGCAAAAAGAGAAAAATCGAAAAACTGAAAAATTTATTCCGAAGAATTGAAAAACCGGAAAATCTAAAAACGAGAAGGCAAAAAATCCAAATATTGAGAAATCGAAACATCAAAAAAGTGAAAAATCTAAAATTTAAAAATTCAAAAAATCGAAAATTTAAAAAATCGGGCAATGAAAACATCAACAAATGGAAAAATGAAAAAACAGAAAAGTTGAAAAATGTAAGATTTAAAAAGTCGTAATATTTTGAAAAATCGAATAAGTAAAATGAAAAAACAGAGTCCAAAAAACCTAAAAATTTAAAAATCGAAATACAAATCGAAAAATCTCAAAACTTAAACATCGAAAATTTGAAAATAGCAAAATTGAGAAATCGGGAAATCGGAAAGACTAAAAATCGAAAAGTCGAAAAATTAAAAAATCCATTAATCGAGAAATTGAGAAATCGGAAGATACAAAAACTTGGAACCACCAAAAATTGAAAAATTGAAAAATCGAAAAATTTAAATACATACAAAAATCCCAAAACTGTACCGCTGAAAAATTGGAAAATCGAAAAATCGAAAAGATGAATTATCGAAAAACTGAGAAATCGAGAAATCGAAAAATTGAAAAATTCAAAAATTTTAACTTAAAAACCAATAAACCAAAAAGTGAAAAACAGAAACATCGACAACTGAAACATTAATTTCGAAGAATTGAAAAACAGGAAAATCTAAAAACGAGAAGGGAAAAAATCCAAATATTGAGAAATCGAAACAACAAAAAAGTGAAAAATCTAAAATTTAAAAATTCAAAAAATCGA